GTCTATCACTAAATCTCTGAGAAACTGTAGGTGAGATTTCAAATTACACCCTTGCTTTCTACTTTAAAGTGAACATAATTGTTTTCTGTCAGGCTGCCACAGAATTAAAGCACCTGCTGGAACTGGCAGCACATTTGTCACCAATCCTAGGCAAGCACATTAAGAAGGATGACTTCAAACTACCTCTCCAAAAGCTGCAGCCTGTACCAAGTGAGCACTTCAAGGGTGCTTTTCCAGAGGAGGTGACTGAAGTGAGCGAGTTTGAAGAGCATATGCTCTCCCAAGGCCACTCTTTAGATGATAATCAAAAAATACACCCTGTAACCAGTGCACAGATGTAAGATGCATAAGAAGGTGAACAGAGAAGTGTCAAAATGCAACATGCCAAAGAGAACCAAACTCCCTTAGGTTTAAGCTAAATATCATTCTTGATACAATTTCTTTTTCATCTACAATAGATAGCAATAAAAATAGTAGTTCAGATTCTGTTTAAAGTAACATTCCTTTTTATATAGTCAGTTATGCTGCACCATTTTTATTTCAGGTTTCTAATGACTATTATTAAAGAAAATGGTACATACCTTTCTCACACTGATATTTGTCCTACTGATACAGTTTTTGTACCATTCCTTGTCTTGTTTGTCAATATTTTTTCAAGAGCCTGCTGTTATGAAATTCCTCATTTTAAAAGTAAATTTCTGAAAAAATATTTAAGTTTCTCTCACTAAAATACTCTGAGGAAAATGCATAGCATTTTACTTTTAAGGGCAAAGAAGGAGCAAGGTCTTATCATGAGAAACTCTTTTGGTGTATGCAAAAAAACCCCTAAGACTAGAGAATGTGAATAAAACTGCTGTGTAAATGAACTAACAAGTGGAAAAAAGGAAACTTAACAGACAAATTAGATAGTAGTGAAACAAGTGAATGTCAACCCAAACAGTAACACTATCAGTCAATGCTCATGATTGCAAAAGATGTTCTAGTTACTTCAAATTACTTCCTAACTATATATATATAGTCTCAAAAGTTGTTTTTCAGGGAGTGAAACTTGGTCTCTGGAGTCTTAATTAAGAATTGTTTTACTATGGGAGAATCATGAAAAATCATGCTAGAGGTTCATGTAGCAACTAATCTCCATTTAAATCAATGGATTTGAGCTTAAGCCAATTTCAAATTTAAAAAAAAAAAAAGAACCAAGGAAATGATTGTTAGCAAGATGAAAAGCAAGACCCTATAGGGGCATAAAACAGTTAGTATTTGTGCTATGAAGGATCTCAAGGACCCAAAATGCTATTTAAGGCCCTTTGGGTATGTATATTCTGGGCAAGAAAACAACTACCCTCATTTGTCTAAATCTAGAGACACAGATGTATCTTGCAAGATAAGGAGAGACCATGGAAACAAGTCCACTGAAGAACTGGCACAGCTTTTTTACAGGTCTTGCAGGCTTTCCCTAAGTGCAAGGCACATGCAGTGAACAAGAAAAGTACAAAAGGAACATTTAAAGAACAACAATTACTGTTGTCTACAGCTTGTCTTCAGCGGCAGAATGAAAAATGAAGCAAAAAGAAAATGCAAGGATGTAGAGACAACAGTTTTGCAGTGGTAAGTTCAAATAATATTTTGAAGAAATTTGTGTGAGTCTTTATTTACACTGAAGTTAAACATTACAGGGTAACAACAGTGGTTGCTTTATTTTCAGGCTGAGATCAGAAGATTCCTGTAATACTCTACAAGTCTTATAACAACTTCTATTAGTCCTTGTTTAGTGCTTGAGGAATTATGCTCAATCTCAAGCCTTTTTGTTATTTTGTAGGGGACTAAAACTGACAATTAAGAATTTTAGTCAGATTCAAGTTTTTTATTTTGGATCTGTTTTCAAATCCTGATATTAGGGAGAGCAGAGATCTACGGCCCTAAATATTTTTGCATATCCTTTCTGGTTTTTAAGTTAATTAGATGTGTATGGTATTTCAGTATCACTGTAACTACAAACAAAAACACTTGAGTAGGGAGAGGGATTTTTTTCTTACCATTTACACGTAAAAAGACTACTTTCACTATTTAATATACAAACATTGTAACTGCTTGAGCCTATGAGTGTCATTAAAGTTCAGACATTCAAATGTGCATTGTCTATGCCAAGGCCTTAATAGAAAATTAGTAAAGAAAGAAACCTCTTAGAGAAGCACACGTGCTCCCAGCTAAAGCATTGTGCAGAAGAACTTGGAATTTTTGTGACTTCCTAAAATTCTGTGTCACCTCCTGACTCGTAACTGGCCTGTCTCAGTATTAAAATCTGTCTAAAACAGGAGCTGAGCTGCGCAAACTACAGCTACATTGGGATCCTTGCTCTCTACCTGCTCTGAAAGAAGAAAAATTAGACACAGCAAAAGTTTCTAAACAATTGCTACTTTTTTGCTATTACTATGAAACAAACTGGCCTTCCAGAGAGTGCATTCACTGCTGCAGGACATTTATCATTGTTATTCTCATTTTCAGCCAAGCATATGGAGTTTCTCCTTTCCGAGGTTAAGTCTTCCAAACCAGATGCACACACGGAGCCTGAGAGATCACCTGGAAAGCTGCTCATAAAATCAAAACACAGACTGGAGGAAAGAATGCTCCCAAAGGTTTTTGTCACAAGGGAACCAATTGACTGGAATGACAGAACTTTCCTATTCACATTTAAGTTTGCATACAACACTCATTGCCAATAGAGGGATATAAGCAAGTGGAAATAAAAATAAGTCTCCAGTGAAAATTAAATATCCAGAAACATGAAAAATAAGAATTACAACTTTCAGGATTTTTGCAGTGGTTTCTTAGAGATACATGTAAGAAGGACAGAGAATCATTCAGTGTGAAAAGTGAGAAAGATGAGAGAAAGAGCCACAATCAGTGTTTGATGCACAAACTTCTGTCAACAGGAATCAGCTTGCATGTATAGAGCCCAAACGATGCTCCAACACATGTGTAATTAAATATTATTCCAGATCTTCAAAGAGAAATTCCAGGATATATTTGAGAATACAGATTTGCACTCCTGACACACCACTTTTTAGATGAGGTTTCTTTTTCCTTAAGGTGAGCAAAGCATTCAGAAAGCAGGGTGCTTCTTTGCCGGGTTTTCAGAGACAGGAAGTAAAGGATTCTTAATGGAAGTATCTAGGGAAGCACAGAGGCACCTGGAATGCCTTCTCCAGGTGCTGTGGAAAGAAGATTTCCACTCCTTCCCTCACCCTACAGGAGGCTTGTCCTTCTTACCTTTGGCATTCACACAAACCTGCAAGTTAAAGAACTCATTTGTCACCATATTAGCTTAATTAGATAGCATGTTGCAGCATGCATTTTAAGTCCACAGGACTGCCAGCATTCTGAATTTATATGTTTTCTCCTCCAACAGTTATTACAATCTTTCCACCTTTTATATATAGCAAACTATAATGTAGTTACTGAACCATTTGCAGTACTCAGAGATACGCAATATTAATTGCTCAATCAGCCAGGATTGACACACTGGATTTAACATGCCACATTGCATTACTGATTATATTTCTAATCTTACTAAGTCAATCTGGGCCAAAGACACCTGCAGTTTAGCTGGAGTATTCAGTAAACACCTGTTTCCTTAACTATTACAGTATCACTAGTGCGAATGGAAACATACACCTTGAACATTTTGATGCCTGATTGCACACTTCATAAATATTTATTTCATTAACTCTTTTTCGTTTTTTCTTTCTCAAGAGTGAAGCAAACAACCTGCATTTTCTTGGAAATAATAGTTTTACTAGTATTGCATATGGTGAATTAGTTTGTTTTGTACCGAAATTGCTTCAATTATTTTTAAGAAAATCAGCACAGTATTTTCTGAGTTTTCTCCTAATACAAAGAAAGAGAATATGTACTAGCATAGGTAAACTTAAATCCAGTGTCACCATTGTCTTATGTTCTCTGGGTTTTTAATTAGAAAATATGATGTTCAATACACCATTATGGAAGAAGGGCAATATACATCCAACAGTCCCCTTAAAATTTATATAACAAAATATTTAACACAAAAGTAGAAAACAGTACTAAGCCAAAATTTCTATAATTTTCAAGTGTTACATTATCAGAAAATAAGATGGTGATTTTGTAACAGGCTTTCAGTACTTTTGTTCCCCAAGACACTATCACAAATGTTACACAGAACTTGTCATACCACATTACAAAATTTTTACTGAAAAGTAAGAACTATTTTGCAAAGAAGTTAAACAATGTGGGAAATGTGGGAAAGAGACAGCATAAATAGCTTTCAAATTTTCCATAAAGATAAGAATATTCAACTTTTAAGATGACTTCATTAAACTGTAACTTGCTGATTAAATTGGACTAACAATTGAACTTCCTTGTAGCGACTGTGCTTAGGAAGTAACTCAACAGTTTTATTTTACAGTTGATGGACCAGAAGAAAGTACCACTAACTCTCACAATTTCTGTGCTTTGATAGCAGAATGTACCTCCTGTGTCTGTGATTTGTTCTTGCCTACCTCATTAAGCACTAAGAAGCAATGAAATAGGTCAACTGATTCCAGACTACTTCCTGACAATTAATAACTGAAATAAGCACAGAGCTAATCTTTAGTAAATTCACTGTAACCCTACAAAATTTAAGAGAGTAAAAGAATAGAGACAAAATACAACTCAGCTGCATGAGCCACAGCTCACCACCTGACAAATTTGCAAAACTACAACTAAAATACTAGTCTGAGCTGTAAAAGTTATTTCTCATACACTTAGAAACCATCTTGACTTTATTTTCTTGTCCTACCATACTTCTTACAGACAGAAAAACAATGCATATTACCTTTTGTAATAAATCTATAAAAGCATTTGTGCTCCAAATTTCAGCACTGCGATAAATACTGTGTATATGATGATGTCAGATCATTTTATTTCCCCGCCACGCATTCTGTAGATGAGAAAATGAGAGACTTTTTCCTGAGATTACTTACCCATGAAGTTCAGATAGCTCTCTCCTCCGAGTGCATGAGTAATGAGACGAATCATTTTATGAAGCTGTATCCCACGATCAATAACTGGCGTCAGAGGCATGAGCACACTCATGTTTGTGTACATCTCTGCATCCATCAGGCGAAAGGCCAGGGTTTTATCACCAACCAGGGCCTAGAACAGTTCAGAAAGACACTGAAGAAAATCCTTGGGTATAATAGAAGTGTTTCTAGGTTTTGATATTTTTTTTTAAACAGGGGGTCTGTATCATGGGAGGAAGACTTGCAAGATCATTGCAAGATCCAGTCCCTGCTCCTGAAGGAAACTGCCAATCATTATCGGGTCATGGTGACCCTGCATTCTGATCACTGCATCTGTGCACTGTGTGATGTGCCATACAGATCTGGTCTGTTGCCAAAAACTGAGGCAGAGATGTCCATGAGCTGAGCCTGGACTGGACATCAGCCCCAATTGTCTGTTTTCCCCTTGCAACTCTCCCCATTGTTACTGGGGCTCCTGAGCTGATGGGAATGAGTGTACATGGTAACAGACCAGAACCTGTCTAACCCCTGCTCCTACATTTCACCTAATGGGATCATACTGCGTAATTACTTCCAAGAACTTTTTCACCTACAGATATCAAATGTGAAATATCAGCATCAGCTCAGTAAGTCACAACTGACCCATCATTTGAGAATTTTTATAGGAAACAGAGAAAATAAGAAAGGAACAGCTAAAGTAAAAGTTCCAGGAATGTAAAAATAAATGGGTATAAACAAAACTCTGATTCAGATATGCAGAGTAAGTATAAAACATTCACTTATATGCAATCAAGAATGTGATTGATTTTCTGTGATTTCACACAAAAGAAAAAACTGAATTACTAACTTGCTAGTGCTCACTTCTACTAGAGAAAGGCCACAAAATGCTATTCCATATATTAGCAGGCAGGTAGTGGAAAACATTTTGGGGCATTTATATTTAAATAGCTGACTTTTGTCCAATTAGCCCAATTCTTGTTTTATACTCTTGAAGGAAAACTTGCTAAATTCCAGAGATACAGATGAATTGTAAGCAGGTCTAGCTTAAAAGCACCATCATCCTTTCATTTTCCAGCTGACAATATAACAGCATATATAGATTACTCCCTTAAGTTAAAAATACTCTATTTAAAGGAAAAAAAAATTCCTATGCAACAATGAGAAGACTGAAGACTGCAATGAACAACTATTTTCTGGACTCAGAATGTGGCATTTGTTAGTGCCATTTAATATCCCCTAATCTTTCCATTGGAAGAGCAGGTAAGTGTTTCACTATTCATGTTTTCTGTGGCAGGTGTGATTTTATAAATGGATATATTTCCCCCTTCAATGATCTCTTTGCTGCCCCAAAGAACATCCTTTAAAATACAGGACCAAGCCTGTCTCCAACACTGAAGATACGCACAAACCAGGAAAGACTGCAGTGGCATTGCTGATTGTGCTCTTTGCTCTATTCCACTCATAATAATTCCAGGACTGCATCTGCTTTTTTGACAGCTATTAGATTTGGAGTTGCTCTTTTCACACTCTTCTTATAACCACAAGGCCTTGTATTCTGACTGGCAACAGTCAGCTCATAGCCCATTACAACATATAAGAAACCAGGACTGTACCCTCCTCACATGCATCACTTCAGGCATCTTCAGGCTGAATTTTATCCACACTTTTTGTTTCTCTAGCCTACTTTTCACATATCAGCCTGATGCATGTCTGCAATCATCGTATTCTTTTAATTAAAAATAAGGAGATTTTTTTTCCCCTAAGCACAACATTCTAAACAGAAAATACGAACTGATATGGAAAACAACTCAATTGCTAAAAATCACCATGAAATAAAAGAACAGCAACAGTAATGTTATATGTTGTGCTTCAGGGTAAAGAATCAATTTTGATGAAAGCAGCTTATCATAGAATAATATATATTTCCAAGTAATTTCTGAAGTTCTTTATCAGGATCATGCATTAAATGAACACTGTAACAGACTCTGAGATTAGAATGTAAGTTGGCACACAAAATGAATAGTAAACTCAGAATGCTCTTTTTAAAATAATACAACTTGTTTGGACATTTCTGTTGAGATTTATTGTAGAAAGTAAAGGACATGGAATATCAACCTTTATTATACAAAGGAAAGATAGGTTACTTAAATAAAATATATTTTTTAAAATAAAAGGTTTAAAGATGTTAATTGTACAATTCCCAAATTATGTGTTTTCTGACTCTTCAGAAACAAGGGTTAAAGAGATTGTGGGAGATGAATGTTATCCGAACTCATCATTACTTTTTCTTTTTTCCACGCACATAGAACTATTATAATTGCTGTGCTTTGAACCAAACTGTTACAGCATATTTCATTTAGGTCTCAAAAGAAGATGTTTTCAATCCAGAGAGGAAAGACTTTCACAAGAGGAAAAGTCACAAGCAAATTTCTTAAATTGGCATATTGTTTATGCTTATCAGAAGTAGAGTTCCAATTTACTTAATGGGAACAGGATTTTCAACTACATGGATTATATACCATCCTGTCTTCTATGGCAGGCAAAACAAGAAGCTTTGACTCATTTCTTAAATAGGAAAACAAAACTGAAAGCCAATATTACCCACACACTCCAGGGAGGATTGTTTTACTAAAATTAAGGATCATAAAATAAAAACACAGCAAAACTGAAAAAAAACCAAACCCCCCAGAAAACCTAAACAAAACAAACAAAAAAAGTACAAAAAAAAAAAGAGCACTAGTCCAAATCTACCAGTTTCTGAAATTCTTGCCATCCTCCTCAACTCCTTTCTCATTTAAAAAAACAAAACAAACAAACAAACAGCTAAAAAAGGAGTTTTACTTGGTTATGAACAAACAAACATCTGAAAATACCTGGTCATGACTCTCTGCATAAGCAATGTACTTTTCTTCACACCGTCTGTTTGTCAATGTATGCACAATATTGCCCATATTCCAGTCTTCATCTTTCAGCTCCTTAATTATCTACAGAAATAAAGAAAGATCACTGAAAAATCGCCTTAACTAAAAACATGTATTATTATCTTGGCACAGAAATTTCCCATGGATTGTGAACTGTATTCTCACGTTCCCAAGTTTTGAAGTGATGAGCTTTCTCTGATAATCCAAAGAGCTGTTTTTTTTCTTTTCAATTTTCCCACATAAACATAATACCTAGAATACTTTGCTTCTCCTCTACCTCCCCAGGAAACTCAGACAACAGGTTTTGCCATTTATTATGTGAATCCTCTGATACAGTGGACAGTGTGATTGACAGGACCTGCAAGAGAGCACTGCACCAAAACCAAGGAAGAAATATGTGGGCACAGACGTACCTGGTTCACAATATCAGGAAATGCAATCCTGGCATATGGGAGCTTCCAAATAAAGCTTGGGCAGTGTGGTGCTACCTCCTGATTTTTAACAACTTAAATTGAAACCCATTAATAGGAATTTTCTGCCTCATATCACATTATTTCCTTCCTCTGCTAAATCTAGCTCAATCTCAGTGTTAGTTTGTTCTTTTTATTCTACACCACTTTGTAGACCTCCATTGATCACTACAACTTAAAAGTATATACATAAATATATAGACATAAAAATAGAAGTGATAAAAAGGCAATAGCACCAAGATGGCCAATATTACACTGTAAAAGTTAACATTATAATTGTTACTGCCCATATACTCCTAAACAGTCCTTTTTTCACCCCTTCATTGATTTTTTTTGTAAACTCCATAAATTCTGGCTCTGAACACGTCGCAGTCCCTATGTAGCATCATATTACATCTATCTTGAATCTAAACTAGTACAACCTCTGCTGTGACAAACAGTTTCTCTTGCTTTCTTTTACAGATTACTCAGAATTAGTTCATGGAATCTCTTGGAGATTCTTCAGTTTCCAAACTGACTTTGGCAAGTTGCCTAGAAAACTTCCTATTAACAGGTATGTACTTAAAAGCTGGAGAGAGAGTAAGCAGTCTAGGAGAGTTTGATAACAGCTGATAAACTCTTTATCTCAACTTCTCCTTTCCAACCACCTCACCTTTATTTTTCCCTTCATGAAATGTGGTAACAAACTCTGGCATCACCTCTTTCTCTAACTCCACATTTCTACTCTGGTCACTTATTTGCAGCTGCTTTGGCAAGAAGATTCCTGCCTACATCACACTAAGTTTTTGCACAATGCCAATCAGAACTGATTTGCACTCAATATCCCATCAGTGTCCCATGCTGTCCCATGTCAAGTGCATGTTTAAGCTGGAAAAACTGACATTTTCTCCAGTTAAAGAATCTGCTGCAGCACAGTTATGTTTCCTATACAAGTACTGCGAATTAAATGAAGCAGACCATATCAGAGATTGCTAAACTAGATTGCAAAATTTTGCACTTGTAAAGTTCTATGGTATGGTAACATGAACCTGGCCACTTGTATTTTGCTTACCTAGGAAATTGCTCATCTTGCCTGCCCTAAAGTGTATTAAGGAACAAAACAAAAACAAACTAACAAAACTCAGAAAAAGGCATAAAATATCACAATTAGGTATTTGTTGTTAAAAAGACTGAGCTCTTACTGCATTCCAGGACCTAAATGTCTAAATCACACATTTCAAATTTTAATGATGGTGTCTCTGCTGGAAAAGCTGTCAATTTTATCTTCTGAAAAGAGGCTTGAAATTTGTTTTTCAATTGGCCCTCTACCTCCTAGTTACAAAACTGAAAGATGCTGAAGGTTTTTACTATTATTCTTAGCTACACACTATACTTATTGAAGCATTAATGGTCATATAAAACATGAATTGTTTTCATATCATCATGACACCCCACAGGTTTTGGGTGAAATATTCTATCTTACTGAAAAACGTTGCCTAAAACATCACTAGAAGCCTTTTCAGATCATCTAGTGTTTTAAGCCTTTTCTTGTGATTCTCTACATCAAGGAAAAGGTAATATAAATCCTTACTATAGTCAGAATTTATTAATATTTACAGATTTATATTATTCAGTTTTGTAACCCTCCTGTACCAATTGCAGGTGTTTGTGTAGCTCATTTAGGTTTACTTTGCTTAACTTTCAGGTCTATTTATATTCAATGCCAATTTCTATGCCCAGTGTCAGGAGGGTTTATTGCATGTTTTTGGAGTAATTTTTTATTTTTTTTTAATATATATATATTTATATGCATATGGTTAACTTTTTATCTACCTGTTCACATTCAATATAGATTACACATTCTACAGCTGTGGCAAGGCACAGGTCATTTCAAAGAAATTGAGCTTATGTGTTGTATTAAGAAAACAACTATCAGCTGGAATGCGAATCCCAGCTCCTGAACTTCTCACCCGAAACCTACATAACATCTGACAGCTCTCATTTCAGCCTCTAATACCTGTGCTCAAGCCTGTCAGAATTTATTTCAAGAGCACATTACCATAAGACAAAGCAAAATTTGTCAGTAGGATTCAGAAGTGTTTATGTGTATGCACTGACAGAGAAACATCCCACTTTGAAGAGCAGAATGGATTTTTTAAGAAGTTCTCACCTGTATCCACTTATCTGGAATGGCCATGGCAAGTCGATAATCAAAACCCCCTCCTCCCTCTGCCACAGGCCGACAGAGAGCTGGCATTCCAGAAACATCCTGGAACAGACAAAACATCCCACAACATCATTTCCACAGCACTGCAAATATCACTGCATTATTTCCCACCATATAGAAATACTAATACACAAACACTCTATAAACAGCTTCACAGATTGACCTGGTTTAAGGGAGAAAGAATAAACTTAAATCAGCTATTACTACACTCAGATGTGCTGTTTGAATGCAAAAGTTATGGAGAAAACCATGATGACTTTTCTCATCAAATACTCTACCTCAGAGTACTTTAATAGAGTAGATATTTTAATGGGAAGACACCTCAGTAGATGTAGAGTTTGAACTAATTAGCTCTCTTGAGCTCCAAGTAATCAATAGAAAGTACAAAGTAGTCAACAAAAGACAAATTAAACCTCCATTTAATTTATTGATATTTTGCATAAGGAATGGCATAAAAAAAAGGTTAAATATAAAGCACACTAAGGAAGAAAAATACATTCTCTATTCTTTTCCCAAAACCAAATCTATTGATCTGGCTAGTCCTGGAAAGTGACAGGCTCTCATTGTATAATTTTCCAGTTTCATATTGATTGATGCTGACTATTCTTAAATATATAATTCCACATTTTCAAAATATTTATTTCACCATGTTGTTAGGCAATTTTATCATGCAGCATTCTTTTCTAAAGTTATCTGGACAGAAAACGCAAGTCTCCAACAATAGCAAAATATCCACCAGTACTCAATTTTATTAACTTCTGTTGGAGAATGGCTTCTCCCTAACAGCAGTTATGGATTAACAAACACCTCTTGCATCTACACAAGAGAATTTATGGAACTGACTAGAACCAGGGCTTAATAAAGAATTTCATTCTGATTTGCTGGATTCAATCCAGTTTTTAATCCAATTGCTGCACTGGAATAGTGAAAAAAGATATTTATGCTTCAAGTCATCCACATATACACTTACAGGCATACACAGACACTGACATAAGGGAGGAGATCAAACAGATCACCAGCAAGCTCATGGATGGCATCCCAGGGGTGGAAGGCAGGGCTGCCATCCAGAGGGACTGGCTGGAGGAATCAATCAGCAGAAATGTCACACAGAATGTCAGAATGTCACCAAGCTAATCCCGACCATGGGATGGGCCACCTCCTGCATCCATAGGGGCTCGGCCAGCCAGGCTGGGGAGCAGCTCTGCTGGGGAGAAAGGGCCTGGGGCTGTGGGCCAGCAGCAAGCTGAGCTTAAGCCAGCAGCCTGGCCTGGCAGCAGGGATGGCCAGCACATCCCAGGCTGGGTGAGCAGCACAGCCAGGAGATCAAAGGAGGGAATTATCCCCCCCTCAGTCAGCAGCCCTTGGATCACACAGAAAACTGTGTCCACATTCCACATACTGTAAAAAACAAATAGTGAAGCAGAAATTCTTTACAAACTTTTAGATGTGATAAGAATTTAGAAAACTCTCCTACATCACTCAGCAAGGACAGACACAGATTCTTGGTCTCTAGGTTATACAGGACATGATGATATGAAACAAAAGCCTTTTTCTGTAATGCCATGATGCCAGTCTGGAGGACATCCAAGTATGAGTTTTAAGCAAGTCCCATCGACTTAAATCAAAATAATTAAAGCCAGATTTTTGGGAAGTAAAATTCCAAATTTAACAGCATTTAGATCTATGTCTACAAATTTTAACTGGGCACAAAAAAAAAAAGGTCATAAATAGTTTCTTTAGTAGATCAAATGTACTTCTACCAGGAAACTTCCTAGTCTGGTACAGTCCTCAGACTACAATGCATCACTGATCTTCCACAGAGGGGGCAATGAAGTGACAACACGTGATCCAAGGGGGATCAAAAAGGACTTCAGGGCCTTGAGACGGTTGGTAAGGGAAGCTGAGGCAGAAGCCCTTTTCTCCTCTATAACTCTAGTTGAAGGCAGTAACATTGAAAGAAAAAGCTTAACTGAGTCTATTTATATACTGCTTCATAGCTGGTGTCACTGCCAAAATGTTGGGAGTTTTGGCAGTGGAATGGCCAGGTATGCTGGCTTCAGACAGGAATCACATTTCTCAGTGATGTCTCTATTGAACCCAGTTAAGTGGGGCCATGGGAGCCTCACGAGGTTTAGCAAGACACAAGTCCCAGGGGCTGCACCTGGGTTGGAGAAACCCCTGTTATCAATCCAGGCTGGGTGTAAACAGATCCAGAGCAGCCACTGAGAAAGACTTGGGGGTGCTGGTGGGTGAAAGGCTGGACATGACTTGTCAGTGAGCTCTTGCAGCCCAGAAATCCAAATCTGGGCTGTGCCCAAAGTGGGCAGCAGGAGAGAGAGGCAATTCTGCTGCTTGTTGCTGAGACCCCACCTGCAGGGCTGAACCAGCTCTGGGGTTCCAGCACAGGAAGGACAGGGATGTGTTGGACCCAGTTCAGAGGAGGGCCATGGTAATCAGGGATAGAGCACCTCTGCTATGAGGAAAGGCTGAGAGAATTTGGATTGTTCAGCCTGAGAAAAAAAGCCTTTATGGTGACATAACTGTGGTCTTCCGCTACCTGAAAGGAGCCCACAAGAATTATGGGGAAGACTTTTTGCTAGGGTATGTATTGATGGGACAAGGGGGAATGGCTTCAAATAGGAAGAGAGTAGGTTTAGATTAAATACTAGGAAGAAAGTCTATACTGTGAGGGTGGTGAGGCACTGGCACAGATGGCCCACAGAAGCTGTGGATGTCCCATCCCCATTCAAGGCCAGGTTTGATGGGGCTCTGAGCAGCCTGGGCTAGTGGAAGGTGTCCCTGTTCATGGCAGGGAGCTGGAACTTGATGATCTTTAAGTTCCCTTCCAACCCAGGCCATTCTATGATGCTATGATTAAACAGAGAATTTCAAAGCATTTGTTCAGACCAGGTTTGAAAAGAGCTGCATATAAAAATAGAAACCACAGCATTGTTTTTTTGCCTGTGTCTATAATACTTCAGGCATGACATAACTTTACTTAACATTTTTTCTTCCCATTATAAAGAGCTTTAATTGACACTTTATTTAGAAGACCAAAATGAAAAACAAGCGTATACTCAGCAACACCTAAAAAAATAGCAATTACTAAGGCAGTGAATATACAGAATATTAAAAAGCTGTAAAATCATCAATTAATTACATTAATTAGGGAATATATTATAATTAGTTATGGCCACAGAAAAACATTTTTCTCACATGGCACTGATTCTATAGGCAAGCAGACATTCTTCACTGCCTTTTGTAATTTTCAATTATGTCAATAGTTTCTCCTCCTGAAATTCTCCTTTAACCATGAAGCACATTGATCAATTCTATGATTCATGTAGCGACTTCCCGAAGCAGAAAATTATGTATTGAAAAAGAAACAGCTCTCAACTTAAGCATGAGAAACTGAAGATATATCTTATTTGAAGCACATTGATCAATTCTATGATTCATGTAGCGACTTCCCGAAGCAGAAAATTATGTATTGAAAAAGAAACAGCTCTCAACTTAAGCATGAGAAACTGAAGATATATCTTATTAAAAAAAAAAAAAAAAAAAAAAAAGAATTCTTAGGCTAGGTAATACAAGACAACTAAACTCAAATTCTTTGGTAGTAATGCTTGTAATCTAGGACTACCCAGAAACTTAATTTCTTGATTTAATTTCAAATAAGCCTACAGCTCAATGAAACCACCTCCAGTTTGCTACTGACTGCTCCCCAGATGCTGGTTTGGTAGCTTGTCATTGAGCTCTTAGCAGTGGTTGTCTATGATAGAAGACTTTACCATAATAAGAAATGAAGTAAAGCCTTACTCTTCCTAAAGATAGAGAACTCTTAAGCAACAAAAACCCTTTTATTAGGAATCCATATAGTCCCTCATGGTATCAGACAGATCCCACTTTTTCTTTTAAACAAAATGAATTATTTAAACACCATAACAGAAAAAAATCCTCCAGGTTTAAATTACTTTTCTTCTGGATAAAACCAAGATATCAGTGAAAATTAGAATTTTGAATACTCTGCTGTTTCATAGTCTTAGAAGCTCCATGTGCCAGAAACATTTTTCAGTCAAAAAAATTGATCTCAATCAACTCAAGTAATATAGTCTATTTACTCCGTTAGAAACCTGGAGAAACTTAATAATAAATTTAAATTACCATATATATTTTACATCTATAAGTTTATTGCATTTAATCTGAAGGGTAATTGTCAGATATACCAATATAATTCAAAATATGCAAAACATCATTAGGGCTGTTAATCTTTAGTACCACAGAGCACAACTGACAAATGGCTATCATGAACAAGCAATAAACTAATAAAAACAATTTGCATTACAAGTTTAAGGTGATGAAGGAAAAAAAAGAAAAAGACACTGCCACACTAATTAATAATCTAAGAATGCTGAGAAAATTCCCAGAGTGCATATTCAGGTTGTTTTTTCCCACCAGGCAAAGTCTGTCCACTAATTAATATTTTTCAGCTCATGTCACTGCTTGAGTACCCAAAGCGTGACTTGATAATTAACAGGAAATTATTATCCTAAAGCAAACTAATCAATATTAATGTCACTGAGGATGGCAAAATGATCTTACCTCTGCTATGGTTATGCATTCTGGGTGCAAGGTATTAATCATGTGATTGGCCAGCATCAGGTAACACAAAGCATCTTCATCCACATGTAGGCCAAAATACTCATTGTAGTCTCCACTGAACCCTGTGCCTAATAAGACAAGAAGTTTTAAAAGTCAGAGTCAGGTTTTATCTAGAAAACACAGGTATTTCACTCAATATTTCATTTTATAGGCACAGAACATATTAATGATTTTCCATTTAACCTCATAGCAACAAAGCAAGACAATTAGTAAATCTGGATTTTTTGATCATTCACAGAATATCCTGAGCTGGAAGAGATCCATTAAGATCAGAGTCCGATGCCTTGCCTTGCACAGGCCCATCCCCCAGAATCACACCCTGCATCATCCAGGTGTTTTAGGAATCTTCTGAACCGGTTTGTGCCAGCTGTGTTGTGCTCCCATCCAGCCATCCACTGTGGCACTCCAGGACTCATCCCACCAGTTTGGCTTGTGCCAATCATGTCAAAACCCTGGGACTGGGCTAAAGCTTTGAGCTCCTCTTTTTTGTTCCACATGTGTGTGTTGGTACTGAAACACTTCCAATGCGGTTTGTTACAGCTGACACATTGTGGAGCAGATTGAGGGATCTTCCTTATGCTTCCACCCTCAAGTTTGGGTTGTGCCATCTAGCAAGCCTGGTTTTGGCCCTTTCCCCTTCCCATCTAATTTCAAGATCTACCAATAAGCCCCTCTAGCTCCTGTGCTAAACCCCTTTCCCCCCTGAGAAACAATAAACTTTAGAGCATTATTTCCACAGCAACAGAGCTGCACCAGGAGTGCTGAGATCAGAGCTGATAAATGGCTCACCAATGCCGTGGTGGTGATACAACATAGACGTGACGCCATCGAACCGGAATCCATCAAAGCGATAGTCTTCAATCCACATCCTCAAATTAGACAGAAGGAATCTCAGGACTTCCCAGCTGAAAGAAATTTATTAAGTTTTAAAAACCTTGGGATCAACTAGAGTTCCTTGTACCATGTCCTCCACTTGCATATGTGGTACTTGTACTGTACATTTTACTATTTTAATGACTTCTTCTCCGTTTTTCATTAACCTTTCCCTAAAAGATTTGTCTTTAAGTCTTTGCCTTTTTACTGCACAAAATCTTAAGACTGGAGACAGGAGGTTAGTAAAAACTCTCAACTATCTACACAGACATCTAACAAGGTAGTGTCTGAACACATATACTATATTTTACTACCCATACTTGCTTTACTTGTGTAATTTTCCTTTCCCTCTCTGAAGATGGTTACTCTCTGTGGGAAACGATGTTACAGAAAAGGAACTAAAATTTTAATAGGCAAGAACTTCTCCCCAAGATTTTATGGATTTAAAGCAATTTTAAGGCATAATTGCTGTTGAAAAGCTGCCCTTCCCAATTAATGACAAATCACATGCCACCAGTAGAATACCAAATCATCTACTGTGTTGCAAATTTACACATTTGAAAAGTAAACCAAGGAAAAGTTGAGGAGGTATATTTTGAAGTTCAGGATATCAGGAATGTGATATAACATACGTACATGCACAAAGCATGGAGATGAAATCAAAATATAAAAGAGGTTCCAAAATGAACAAACATGTAGAAACATTCATGAACAGATTTTGATATTAAGGAATAAAATAGTTTCATGAGCAATTTTCCTAGTATTCATCACCCTCTCTCCCTTGGCATTGGTCTCTGTAGCTTTAAAAGACACCCACATGTTCTTTCTACTGTTCACCCTCCATGGCACAGCCCTCTCTGACACCCTCATGTGCATCTCCTGTAAGCCACAGCTCTGAAGAGCTCACCCAGCTCAATCAGCCAACACAAGATGTAGTGAAACTGGTTTTGCCCACATCTTCAACACTTGCTAATGCCACAACTTCTCTCTAACCAGTTTCCCAAGACAACATAGCTACAACCCCACTCCCTACCAAGTTTCTGTTCAGATAAAAGCCCAGGAGCAGGCAGAGTCCCTCCAGCCATGCTCTGCTGGGGGAGACAGAATGGGTAATGTTGCACAAACCACACCACAATTTACCTATGCACATGGTAGGCATAGGGTAGTGAAGGGGACCCTTCCTAAATTTCATTTAACAGACATCAGAAACAGTAATTTCAGGAAGAAATTATGACACAAGGAATAAACTCCATTTTTGACAGACAAATGCCGACACTTTCCTTCCTCCAAAAAACTTCTTCATATGAAGGATGCTTTAAGTCCTGAGTAAGTGGTATTAGAAGAAAAGATGAGATGCTATGGACACACTATAAAGTCAAATCCTGACATCACTAAGTAGCCAATTCTTATTAATTTCCACAGAATTTCAGTATTTCTCTTTCTGCATGCATGCACTGCACGGAGATACACACTTGTGTACATAAAGACAGAATTATTACCAAATCAAAACCTCCAAATTTAGGAAATGTGAATCACTTCACTGTGAATTCCCTCAGTACAACACCTTTCCTGGGCATGCATTACATAACAAGATTTTTTTGTTTTTGTTATTCCATTGCTACACTCCCCTGCTTCAAATCACCCAATTCACAAGTTAACAAGACACTAGGAAGATCTCAGGAGCTTGTCTGAAGAACCTTTCATATATTTATTAGTTCTCAGGTGAGATGGCTTACAGCGAATGAACAAGACTGAGATTGCTCTGATATTGAAAGGGATAGAAAAGTATCAGAAGTCCTATCAACTGGCAATCTGGTCACAAAAAAGCAATTTTGTGCAAACATTTGCTGTATCTTTTTCTGACTCAGCATGAAATTCACAGAAAGCCATTTCCTGCAAGCTAAATACCGTGAGAAAAGAGCACAGCATTTTAGCAAATAAAAATAGTATCTCACACAGAATTAGGATAATGCATGCACAAAGAGTGCATTAATTATTACAAGCACTATCCAGACTTAAGATGGTGAAGAGGATTTGTACATCTGTAAAACATACACAGAAGTCTCAAAATGGATAACAAATGTAATTTTTTCCACCATTGTTGGCATCGAAGACTGATCTTTGGGAAAAGATAGAGAACCAGCATGAACATAAATTGTAATGACTTTTAGATGAAAAAGCGCCAAAAATAAGAACAAACAAGATGAATTTGTTGCATCAAAGTATTAGTTAGAAAATTTATGAGATCAAAAACCTGAGTAGGAGCAGCAGATGTTTTACAAGCGTCTGATTGCACATGGGAGAGAAGATCATAAATAAATAAATAATCACTTTTTCTCTGATTTTAGTCTAAAATTGGAAAAAATCAGCTTTAGGATAATTTTTAAGAAGTATATCAAGTACTAGCAACCATATTGACTTTTAGAGAGATAACTAAACATCTCCAAAACATGAACCGGAATAACAGAATTTTTTTGAGACATGCAAATCACACAAACCATACAGAGTTTCATTTTTCCAAGTCAATTTGTTCATGGGAACAGCAGCATTAGGCACAGAAGTTGACAGAACAAATAACTTTGCAGAAAGCCAGCAGAGGCCAAAACGGAAGAGGCATAATTGAGATACAACCATGACAGAAGCAGTAATCCAGGAACATTGCTAAAACAGTTCATTCTTGCATTTTACAGACAGATATGGAAATGGGATAGCATTCATTAGGAATGCAATTTCTTCTGGAAAAAAAGCCACATCTTAAGTTATATCCCAAAAATCTCACACTTATGCATATATCAAAATTGAGGGAGTTCTTTCATTGCGTGCATCATCAAAGACAGGAAGGTTATGCTGTATCATCATTAAGGAACAGAATGATTTACAGTGTAAGAAATCTAAGTAATTCAGAATTCGCCCAGACATTCAAAACAAAGGTCTTTGCAGAGAAGTACTGGTGGATTTTTTCCCTTCACTCTTGGAGACCATAGCTCATTTATTAAAAACAGATTTTTTTTTTTTGTTTGAAAAAGTGAAATGAGCACATCTACCTAGATGACCTAGTTTCATAAGGTGATGAGAAATTTAACAACTTTCCTATACTAGGTCAGCAGAAAACCTGTGAAATTGCTTATATGACACACTAGTTATTTACTTTTTTCCTCTATACTAACAAAAAAAAACCCCAAAATAATGATTGACCATAAGCATTTTAAATTCCAGTCCATGATGAACATGAAATATTTAGATGCAAGCAATGCATTTAAACCAGTTAATTTTGTCACTATGGACAAAAAATAATATTGGCTGTGTCTAATACAGTTTGAAGATGTAATTCTTGAACCATATTAATGCTGACCTTCAGGAATTGCATTTATTACTATGTATTGGAGAACTGCTGACCTTATAAGAATCTAGACTTATTATGATGATATACCTGTTTCAGTTCTTAGTGCTTAATTAACTTAAGACATAGTAGCACTGAATTGCTAAATCATTATTTTTAAATTTCCCCCAAACATTTCAACAGCTGAGTGGCTGAAATTCAATCAAAAGACTGCTAAACAAAGAAATTCAGTCTAACAAATACATTGCTAACTGTAATGCTAACTTCCAGAATATCTGGCACAAGCTATTTAATGGCCTAAACATCTAGATCTGATACAGAGGTGTTCTTTTTTTCACCACTCCTTATGAGCATGGAGTAGCTTCCCTGTTACTTAGATGCTCTTTGGTTGATTGAAATTATATAAAATGGTAACCAGCCTTATCCTATTTGGAAAATAACAACAACAATAAATCCCTTTGTATTTCACCCTCCTTAATCAATCACGAGTAATTCCCCTCTGTCATCTACATAAAGTCATTGCCAAGATGCCAAGTCCTCTTTAGCCATAAGGGGCTGAGAAGGTGAAGCAGTGTGGCAGTGCTTGTTTAAAGCAAGGGACAGTCCTGGGAGTCAGGGTCCCAGCACTACACTGCCCTCAACACTCACACTCCAGTTACTCTGAACAGCATTCCACAGCAACATCCTCAGCTCTTTCAGTCAACAGAAAGTAATAAAGTCTTATACAGACCCAAAGAACTTTGGTCTGGCAATCCAAACTGCACTGTGTCTCCAAAAATGCAGACAACAAACAAAAGAGCTGTCTTCTTGGTGAATATAATAACCTGGGAGCTGAAGGAGTCAGTGGTAACACATCATTTCCCCTACATCAGTCCCCAGAAGAGACAGAAACAGTGAATTAACTTCTAAATCCAGGAAGAGGGTTTTATTCTTAGCAACAGAAATTGAGGATCTATTGATGCCAGCATAATTACAAAGCTGATAATATTACATAATTACAGACTGTATCAAATAAGTGTGATTTAAAATTTTCTCTAACAGTTAGAAAAATGGATACTTTTATCAATAGTTGAGGCAGAAGACATATTTGCTTAAGCCTTAACATCCCATTCCCTCCATTAAAATGAAAAAGCTCAAAAGCATTTGAGAATTTTAAGGCCAGCCTTCAGGAAAGAAGTCCTTAATTATTTATTTAATTAGTACTACAAAAATGTTGTCAGAAATCAAAGTGAAAGGACTATTTTTAAATTTCGAAGCATTTGTTTAGTAAAGATCTGAAGTCTTCACAAACTAAATCATATTGATTTCTTTTAGGCAAAAGTTAATAGTGGTAAATTAACTAGATGCAGGGATGCACAATTACTTCTGTGCCTTTTTGTGGGCAAAACTCCAATTCTTCATGAACCACAGACAAATATACATATTATATGCATAACATACAAAATCATAGAATGGTTTAGGTTGGACAAGACCTCCGAGATCATTAAGCACAACTATTAACAACATGGTGTTCACTACTAAACCATGTCCCTGTGTGTGCCATATCCACAGAATTTTAATGCTGCCAGGGATGGTTCTTCCACCACTCCTCTGAGCAGCTTGTCACACAGGCCCACCCTTCCAGTGAAGACGTTTTTTCTGATATATAATCTTGAGGCCATGTTCTCTTGTCCGGCCACTTGCTGCCTGGGA